TCATTAATTACCGCTTGTATTTTTTAGAAACTGAAATTACCATTACATTTATTCAACATAGCCGTATATTTTATGTTACCGCATGCCTAAGTTCTGCGCTCACGCTACGCCACTGGCTAGTACCGATAAATTTTGTTGGCTTGTTGCGAAAAACAACTGGGAGCCTCATGTTAACATTTTCAAAAGCTAAAAAAAACTCTCGAATATAACAGCACTATAACTTTTACCGCTTGCAACTAGCATCACCCGACGTAATAATTTGCGTCTTCGCATATAAGGCTTGTACACTGGGGTCACAAAAGTATGGAAACGGTGCTAAAATTGGCGGCTCGCAGAAGCCAAGGGCCTAAGCCGACAGGTTTTTAGAACAGAAGTTTATGTTTTTTGCAACAAATGCATTCGCGAGAATATTTGCGTAATTCCAATGGCGCAAGGATATTTGCGTAATTCCAATGGCTTTTAAAATATATTTGAAAGATTACCGTACTGTTTTGTGGGTAAGCGATCAAGGAAACGTTGGGCTGGTGCGGTGCTTTAGGAAATTTCTGGAAAATATTTTCGAAGGATTCATAACAAGATGCCTCAAAGTAAGACAAAACTATGCAAGCAAGTTTTGCTGAATTTTTCTCCTCAAAACAGCAAACTAATCATTAGATTTTCTTTTAACGGAGGCATTTTCCCGCCGTAACCTATCGTTTCCAAGCCCCTTGAGCTCATAATTCTGATTTTGAAATTGATCGGCTTAGGCCCGTGGTCACAGTGTATATTGCATATTCGCGTACTGGTCATCCCAAAACACTGTCTGACGCCCGGGAAGGGGGGGGGGGCGGTAACTTCAAAAATTTATGACAATGTTTGATTTTACCAAAATCGATACACCAAAATTTATTTTGTACAGGAAAAAGGTACCTGTACAAGTGCCTGTACCCCCGGGTAGTGATGTCAAGCGGGGTTCAAAGTGTTTTTGGCAGGCATTGTACGAGTTGTTAGAAGAGAGAGATTGTCTGTAGCGATATACTGTATACCGGTAAAATACAATTCCAGAAAGATGTTGTTTCATTGAAAGAGCATTTTTCAAACAACAATCTTTTTCACATTATTCAGTAGTTCAAAGATCAAATAAATATACTCTTTAAGTTCTTAATCATTTTTTACCAAAAAATTCAGTATTGAAGCTCCAGGTTCAGGTTCTGTTATGGCTTGCCTGGCCTTCCTGGCTTGCCTGGTTTTCCTGGCTTGCCTGGTCTTCCTGGCTTGCCTGGTCTTCCTGGCCTTCCAGGTCTGCCGTATGGTCCAGGGGGTCCCTTAGGTCCTTTTGGTCCAGGTGCTCCATCTCTTCCAGGGGGTCCCTTCTTACCGGGTTTTCCGGGTCTTCCTGGTTTTCCGGGTATTCCGGGTTTCCCTTTATCACCTGGCCTACCTGGTCTACCTGGTTTTCCCGGCTTCCCTGGGTGACCGGGTAATCCGTCATATCCTGGGTGTCCTGGGTGTCCCGGTTGTCCTTTTTTTCCTGGTTTGCCTGGTCTGCCTGGGTGTCCTTTTGGTCCTAAATGTAGAAGCATATTGAGACTTGAGAGTATGGTGAGGCGGATATCATAACAATAAAAACCTTGATACAAGAACTGTTCAAAATTGTTATAGATCAGAAGAAAACCTAACTGATTCTTTTTATGTTTATTTAGTATCTTGAAAGGGAAGAAACTAAGGATAACAATAATGGAAAGTAAGTTGAAGTAGAATAACGCAGCAAATGCAGATTGACCATTTAAGTAAATGAGGTAAAGTTAATCGACTTGGCCAAGTTTTTGACCAAATAAAACCATATGTATAGGGGATATGGGGCTGGTTTTATCTCTATGCTCCTTTCAGCATTTTGGCTTCATTCGGGTAGTTTTATCTCAATGAAGCGAAAGTATTCAGGCAAGATCAATACTAGCACACCCCCCCCCCAACCCACCATCCGCTATGGCCATGAGTACCTTAAGTACAAAAATTTTCGGCGTTTTGAAAATTTATTTGTATGAAATTGAAAGTTATCCAAAAGTTTGTCGCGCGGAATATTTTTGTATGATTTACGCATGCGCATTTTTATTGACTGAATCAAAAGCTACAATCTTTGAACATGAGTGTTTGCAAATTTTTGAAAACAGTCTTTCAAATTCCTCGTTTTCATCGCATATCAAAAAGTCACTAAACAAAGAAACTAAGAATTTGAGCCACTTCCGTAATGAAAATTTTTTGAAGCTTAACATTGTCACATTTTCAGCAGTCAGAGATTCTTCTAAATTTCTTGAAAGTTCAATAACAATCCAGAAATTTTGTGCGAATTGATAACCTAATAACCTAATAACCTAATGTGGTTCTGCTTTGAACATCCAAAAGACCGGTCAATATTGTCCGAAAATTTATTTGTCCGAAGTTTCAAAAATTCGTCCGAAAATATTTTCGCCGATGTTTATTGTCCGAATTTTTATCCCCTGAAAATTTTTGTACTAAATGTAAAACCGCTTACCCTTTGGGCCAGGATAGCCGGTGTGTCCCACTGGTCCGCTTGGGCCTGGTGGTCCTGGAGGTCCAGGGGGTCCTTTAATAAATTTCACTTGGACGCTTCTCGATGGACGATCCTCTAGGCTGTCGTCTTCACCCTCAAGGTACAGGGCATTTGCAATACCTAAATGAAACAAATCACGTGAATTAAATTGTTAACTTTTAAAGAAACATTAAAATATGTTTGTTCGTAGTTCAATACAAAGGCGGCGCTTGAAAAATATCTTAGTGGTGTTTTCAAGTTCCAAGTTAATTTTTTTAATTGAAGGCCAACCACTACTAAATTTGCAAAATGAGCAAATAATTCCAAATTTTTCGAGTAAAAGGCCAGTTCAAGTCTGTTTTGGGGTTCTCACCATCACCTTCCTCACCAGCACCACCCTTGGGTCAATACCGTTTTGTTTGGATGTAACTTGAAATTACTTTTATTTCGTTTTTAATTATTTATACCGGGTAGAAGCGTCGGTATTAAATACTGCTTTACAGCTTGCCCTGGAAACTAACAAAATGGAATTAAAGTCCTATTTACAATGATATTTCAAATCTGGAGTGATATAAAAGAAAACGAAAGAGGTTTAAATCAGTATTTTATTGTGGCTCACGTGAATGTTCTCTTGAAGCAGAGAAGCTATTTGTCTTGGCTTCAGTTGGCGGCTAAAGTTTGACACCCCTAAACCAAAAGCTCTTTTGTCCTAAGGATATTTTCAACAGGGGAAGGTTCGGTTCCTGTTAGGAATACTGTCATTCCCTTTAGCATTTCTCAAAGACCCTTGAAAAAAGAACGTGCACATAATCAGTGACCGTGCACAGTGGCGGATTTAAGGGGGGGGCAACTAGGGGCAGTTGCCCCTCCCTCAACGAGTTGAAGCAAGTTTGGCGCCCTTATTTGAAAATTTTGCGCCCCTTTTGAAAACTGAGAATCAGGTGAAAAAGTTTCTGCGACCAATAGGTTAATTTCCTTTTAAGAACTACCTCCAAGTTATGTTGTTTATTTCGAAAATGGATCTGAAATTGTTGTATACAGCGTATTCCGTCACCAATTTGTGAAAATTTTTCAGCGCCCCCACTACCAACTGACCCTCCTTCAAATTTGCTCTGGATCCGCCCCTGACCGTGCAGTGACTTGTGCACAATGCTCGTTGTTTCAAAGTCCATCATTCGCGTAATCCAGCCAAGTTTTTTAATACGTGGGTGTGAGGAGGCATGATAGGGGCTCTATGTTACTATTCTGGCTGCTTTTTTGCAGCTTTTGTGATATTTAAAGAACGTTCTAATAAAGTTACCCCCAAGAAATACGGCTCTACAAGATACTTATACATCGTTTGGATAGTTTGTAAGGCGAGATATCTTTCGAGCCATTTTAACTACCTATTTCTCAGGAGATTCCGAGAACGTGCATGCGCTATTAAAAGATTTTTATATAGAAAGATATGTACAGTATTAATGAAACCATTGCTAAAATTCATATTTATAGGCTAAAAATAGGTGGTTCGTGCAACGGTTTTTCAATGAAGGGGGGAGGGCCTTTGTCTACATTCATTTCTGAGCCATTCGAGTTAACCAATATCTTTGTTTGAACTCGGAAATGTCAAAAGTCGATTTGTCTCATCTACTAGTTTATTTTCAACAAAAATGGGTTGTCGAATGAAATTCCAACGGTCATTCTGTGGATCAATATTGTCAAAGGTGATACACTTGGCTAGACCTTGGCTGAGCCAAAGGGCAAATCGCTGAAAAAATCTAGTACACTTTGCTGAAAAATCTGTAAAAATCTTCTTTAAATCTGAAAATTTCAAGAAATCCTCAAAAAGCTATAAAATTTTCAAAACATCTTCAAAAACCAACAAATATAAAAAATGCTCAAAAATTTCTGAAAAATCTTGGAAAATCCCAAAATCTCTAAGAAAAGTTATATTTTTTGTGCTTTCATGTGTAAAAGATCGAAAACAACTGGCGCGAAGATATCAAAACATACAAAGTAATCAAAACTGAAAACGTCTCGTCTTGTCTTTTGTGCTAAACGTATATCTATTTATTTCGTCTAAGATTCGAGAAAGCTTTTTAACGATCAAGACAGTACAAGAAAAAACATAGCAACCCAAGTAACACTGCCTATCTTGGCCGAGGTTTCGATCCACAGACCAGCCAAATTCTATCTACAGGTCCTATGTAAATCAAAATCCTACCCAAAAATTCAAGATGAAAGATTTCAAAAATGTTCGAGAATCTCAAAGACCTTCAAACTAAAAAAAACCTTCCAATACTCTGAACATCTAAAAATTTCGTACCTTTTTTTGGAAATGATTTGTCTCTTGGGCTAAACCAGAATCTAAAAAAGTTTACCCTTATATTCCTGATTCAGTTACGACATCAGTTATTTATAAAGCAAGCTTTCATGTACGCTTTATAAGAACAACGTTGTGTGTTCAATTTGTGAAAACTTGGATACTCACCAAAAAGCAAACAGCACAAAATCAAGGTCTTCATCTTGATCTTCGTCAACTTGCCCCTTGCAAAAGAACCTGACCCCAAGTGATGAACTGATTCTTTCTGTCCTTTTAAAGAATTCTACCTTCATTAGGGGTATAATTAAACGAATTCTTCACATCCTGGCTCACCTTTCCACTCATGAAATTAACAGTGAAATCATATTTTTGGTATGATAATTTCATGGTTGAGATTGCCTCTGAATATAATTTACCAGTGACATGCAAAGTGGTATGTCGAATAGTTGGCAACTCTTGTAATGGTAGCAATTTTGACAAGAGCCATTTGATAAGAGAATTAGCTCCCCTCCCTCCGTCATTGGCTTAGTTGTAATTAATTTTGTGAAGTAGTACAGCCATAATTGTTTTCAGGTTTTCAGGTAGATTTTCATCTGAGTAGCAATTAGGCATAAACAGTATCTTGTGACTTTCTGACACAGTTTTATGTCTACCTTATTCTTGATTGCTTCTATTAAAATGTCTACATTGAAGCTTGTGCCAATTGACGTAAATTGAATGCAGAATAGTCATTGGTTGTTAATTTGACAAAAGTTCATGTCCAAACGTCAAGATATGGTTGGTGTGCGTGCAACTGCGAAACTAGCTGAAATGTTTATAAATGCTATGCGAATAGCTAAAGTTGCTTCTTCTTTGGTTTTTTCTCTGGAGCACAAAGTTTATAAGAAGTACCAATTATTGATACCGTGAGGTCTAGAAAAATGTTGCATAATACCCATCGACAGTACCTATTAATGTACATTAAGGAAGGTGCGGTAGCGGACAAAATAACGATGGCTCTCAAATTAAAGCTGATGAAAATGCAATGTAAAAACTGCAAATTGATACCAAACATGCCTGTAATAAGAACTTTGATGGGTACCCTGCTTAAAAACCCACAAAACATGTCTTTTTCCGAATTTGATTTCCTTAAAGAATTATCTCCAATCTCCATCAAAAATTTTGCTTGTTTTTTGTAATTTTTAGGGCACAATTGTTATGAAATGAGTTTTTTGCCAATATTTTTAGTTTCTTTTTTCAAAGCTTTCAAACCTTCGTGTAGATTATATGCTGGATTTAGAGAACTGGAATTTCCATCAAGTCTTGTTTCAAATATCTAGTAGAAGAATTTTTTTATTTTCGGAAAGTATTTTTGTAAGCCGCTTATCTTCAAAAGTGAATATAACCGAGAAACCAAATTTTCACGAGACACAAAAGACGATTTCGATTCATTTAGACACCTTTTGACTACCTAAATCTGTTAAAGTTAAGCTCTGACTAAACTAAGTTTCTATCTATATGGAACTTCGAAATTTTCCAGACCTTTATCATAAATACTGTACAAAGAAGTGTAGTCAGTACTTTCGTTGTCATCACCAAGGATGATATTCGAAAGTGTATGTTTCGTTGTCAAACCGAATGCCCCGTGCACCCCAGTGCACATTATTTTACTTTATTTTACTTAATCATGGTTTATTTTCACGGCTAGCGAGACTTCAGCTAGCCAGGAAAATGTTTTCCTGTGTGAACGCTGGTGCTATGTGTAGCAAATCAGGTTTCAAAGAATTGTCTATAAAAATTCTATTTATTGTAAGACAACCGATATTTGTAAAGGGAGCTAGGGAACGGGTTTTGAACTGAAAAAAGATGTTTTAGTCAAGATCCCTACCATTGGCACAAGATTTTACTTAGCTTAAGATGATACAGTTGCACTCTTCCCTTTACCCGTCACATTATGCAAAAAATAATGTTTTGGTAAAAGACAGACTAGAAAAATACCACTCTTATGTTTGTTCTTTTTTGAAAAGAATCATTTGTAGATAATTCAAATCGTTCAATTATTTGAGGCTAAATTATATTAGAAAGTTCTTAACCAATTCTCAAAGTTTTGTTATCGAAAATGTGTCCAAATGTTGTCAATAAACATGTTTCTTTGGGTACCAGTATTTCTTGCCTGGCCTTCCTGGTCTGCCGCGTGGTCCACGGGGTCCTCTTGGTCCTCTAGGTCCTGGCCTGCCATTTCTTCCTGGCTCTCCTTTTCTTCCAGGTCTTCCGGGCCTTCCTGGAAAACCTCGCCTGCCTGGGCGTCCTGGTCTTCCACGCTTCCCTGGGCGACCGGGTAGTCCGTTTAATCCTGGTCGTCCTGGTCGTCCTGTTTTCCCTGGTCTGCCTGGTCGTCCTGGTCGTCCTTTTGGTCCTAGATAAAGAAAACATTACTGTGTTCATTACTGATTGACAGAATTTTATATACAAAAAACCAGTACATCTACCGGTAACAAACGAGGTTTGAGAAATATTCCATATATTCACTTTTTTTAGAACTGAGAAGGGTAACAAACTCATAGTAGATTTTATTAAAATCCAAGTTATACGTAGACACGAAGGCCAAAATGCACGATAATATGATTTAGCAGACCAGCGAAATAAGATGATAAGATACACAGGCGTTAAGAACCCGGATATAGCTACTAATGAGTTTTATATAGCTGTCCATGTACATTAACTATCGTCCAAACCATCTGTAAATAAAGAGATTATCATCATTATTATCATTATTGTTATTTTCCATTTAGATCTATGGGAAATATGGATTGAAGCAGCTTACCCTTTGGGCCAGGAGGACCGGCTGGTCCTTCTGGTCCGCTTGGGCCTGGAGGTCCTGGAGGTCCAGGGGGTCCTTTTATGACTTTCACTTTGTATCCGTAGCCATAACTTGCATCCTCTTGGCTGTTGTCTTCACTTTCAAGGTACAGGGCATTTGCAATGCCTTAAATGAAGCAAATCAACGAATAGTTAATTCCAAGCTAAATTCTACTTTTTGAATACATTCAGTTACGTTATTCTCTGTTTGATACCGTATTGGTTTGATTTTAGCCTTTTACTTTAAAAGTGTGTTTCAATATTATTTCAAACATGCAAATAACAACTAGACAACTTCTCCCTATCGACTTAAGCTGATTGATTAAGGTTTTATTAATTAAATAAAAGTACCCTCATTAGTGCAAAAGTTTGTTTCATCCTTCAGCCTTCTTGTGTTGTAGCTCTCGTTAGTTGACACGTTGTCCATTATGATAGATCCTACATCCTCATAGAGCTACGCTACTATATATGTAGATGTGTGCATCTTTTAAGAACAAAACCGCCGAAATTAGGATCCTCCCTTTTTCAATCAGTTTTCCTATATGCGCTGCAGAAATAATTCTGTGTACATAAGAATATAAAAATGAGTGTACTCACCAAAAACCAAACAGCACAAAATCAGAGTCTTCATTTTGATCGTCGTCAACTTGCCACTTGAAAATGAACCTGGCACCAATTGAAGAGCCTGTCCTTTCTGTCCTTTTTATACAGTTTTACTTTCATTAGTGATGCAATTTGTACTGTGCATCCCATTATCGATTTCCTGTGCTGAAAATTACGGTAGATTTTGTGGTTGTTGCATAATTATTTCTTGATGGACAGGAACATTAATTCAAATTTGCTAACTACATGGAAAATTATAAATGAACTACCTAACAACGCCCTTGCTTGCTACAATATTTGTATTTGATACTTAAGAAACTACATCATCATTGAACCCACAGCCTTCCTCTATCACTTAACGTAAAGAATATTTCACCTATGCGCTTATAATTAGCATCGGTTCTTGAAATAATGAATAAAAAATTACATCTAAATGCTTCGGTTTTGCAGTTTCGTAATGCAATTACAAATTTTTAGTCAAAGACAATTCCATATCGTGTTCATTATCCTTATGTATATGCAGAGCAATTCAATGAGAATTAGTGATTGCGAGAATTTCAAAGCAAAAAGCTTAGTGTTGCCAAATTTGTAGAAAATATCTACGGCCAAATCTCAAGTAAATCATTTTGAAGTATAAATGTGAAGTATAACTTCAAAACTGGGGCTGACTCAGGATTCCATTGAAGTGAAAGGGATTGTTTTAGCATACCCTTATTTTGCTTTTTCGTCTTATATATTGTAAATAGACATTGCTTGAGACCAAAAATTACTGAAATATCACTTATCAACTAAAAAAATAAAAGCAATTAGAGTTTGTTAAAAGGGGGTAAAATTATTCTCTCGTTTGATACGACCTAAGAAAGCAGGAGCGGTGACGCATATAACCATGCCCCCCGGGCCCCCTGATGTCCTTAAATGTTTGGGGCCTCGAGCAAAAGATCTATAAGGTGGCTTCATATTTCGAATATCAATTAAATCGAAAATTTAAGAACAGATAGGCTAAACGTCGCTCTTTTCGTGCGTTGAACCGAATTTGAGTTCGGCGGACCCCCGGCGCATAAAAAGAGCAACGTTTAATATCAGATCATTCAAAAGGGGCATAATACGACAGGGTCAGTCGTGCCCACTTATCGCACCAACTAGATTCTGCTGCACTGAATCAAATCAGTCGAATTCTATCAAGTTAAAGGTCGCTCTTTTCGTGCGCTTAATTCAATAATTGGTTTGGTGCATGAGAAGTTCGACGTTTAACCTAGGCTACCCTGGGTACCAGAATCACTATATATCTATTATTTTATATAGTGAGTCTGGTACCCAGGGTAAACCTAGGCCTTAGAAACTGCTTTGGACGTCGGCTAACGTGTTTTGTCCCACGTCCCCGCCGTGATCAAACTTCCACTTATATTAAGGAGAGTCTTCAGCTCATTGAAAGTCTTCACATAAAGCCTCTAAAGTAAGCCCCTATTACACTTTTGAACTCTTAAGGGCAGCAAATTATGTTGGTTCACCTCATGGCATAGCAGAATTATTGATTGTAAACAGCTATTATATTGAAAACCTCAATGTCCATAAGTGAAAAATTTTTACTTTTCAGCATTAACAAGTGGGCTCAGCCCCCTGAATCCCCTAACCCTACAACATCGTTACCAAGTATTATGATATAGGGACAGATCCAGGGGTATTCCACATTCACATTCCACACCACATTCAATACAAATTTCTGAAAAATTCATTTTTATTTTCATGTGGCCTTTTGTGCTACGCTATTCTGTAGAATAGGTTTACATTTGCGTGAAGTTCAACGTGATATTCAATAATTTATTGAAAATTGCCTTTTAGGAGCCTCAAAAGTGATAAAAGTAGCGTGGTCAATTTGCTTCTCTTTGAAAACTAGGCCAGTATATTAAAGCTGTCTGCGAAATATTTTCCCATACCTCAATCGTAGGCTAGCAGTAGGATAAGCTAGCAAGAGTTTCCTTTTTCTTTTACCTGCCGAAAGAGATTCTTTACACGACTTGAATATCAACAAGGAATCTGGCCTTCAATCCTAGGAGTTTTTAAACTACTTTCAAACTGATTGCCATCGAAAAAACCTACTTAAATCGTCATTTTGCACCAGCTCCGCACATTCTAAATGGATACTGATACTACCCTCACTTCTAAATTTTAGAACATGGGTTGTATCCAGTACCGGGTGTTGACCTAAGCAATCCGATTATTTAAAATCCAGGTTTGAACTTTTGTTCTAATTAACTAACCATTTTTGCATTCAAATACATTGAGTGGTGCCCCTCCAGGCCATGCCGCCACGCCAACCGCCAGTCAACAATTCAACATTGCCGCGCCGCCGTTCAACCGTATTTCAATTGCTGGGAGGCTGTTCTGTGAACGTGTGGCTTAACAAGCAAAGAAACATACACGCAAAAAACATACATGCATTTTGTGATTTATGAAAAGTTAGGGTGTTAAAATTCTCCACTAGTCTTGTCATGCGATGTTGTGTAAAGAGTTATTCTTCTTGCTTAGTACAAGGGTGGCAGTGGGTGCAAGGGCAATTCCACGAGCAAGGGTGGCATAAGCTATATGTGCAAATCCCGAGTAAGCTATTACATGGACTAAAGAAAAAAATCACAAGCAGAATTACAAAATTATAAGGAACAGGAGCCTTTTGTGACAAGTAACACAATCTGTCTTGTTGGAAATAAACACTCTTTCTAGTTCAGGAAAACAACCTTTTGTAGCACTCGTACATCTGATATACACTAATGATCAGAGCCTTTTCAGCATATTAACTAGGGGGGGGGGCAATTGCCCCCGCACACCAAGTGGCTTTTCATTGTTTTAAACAGTAGGCTATTGTCTCTTTCTTTATATGAACAAAGGTTTTCCCTCGTAGCTAATTTCCCTTGGAAAGGTTATGGTAATGATGGCTTCAGAAAATTGGTATCAGATCTGTATGTAGATTTGAACATATAGTTTTATGCCACCCTTGCTCGTTGAATTGCCTTTGCACCCACTGCCACCCTTGTACAAGGCAATCAGGATAACACTTTGCACAACATGGAATGAAAAGACTAGTGGAGAATTTTAACACTCTGACCTTTCATAGATCACAAAATGACGATTGAAGCAGTTTTTTCGAAAGCAACCAATTTGAAAGTAGTTTAAAAACTCCTAGGATTGAAGGCCAGATTTCTCTTTGATATTCAAGTCGTGTAAAGAATCACTTTAGGCAGGTAAAAGAAAAAGGAAACTCTTCTAGCTTATCCTATTGCTAGCCTACGATTAAGGTATGTGAAAATATTTCGCAGCCAATTTTAATATGTATTTTAGCACTAACGTTCTCTTTTTGCCGTCACTGTAAACCAAAATCTCTGTCCGGCAAAACATTTTAAGGGGGTTTTAATATGGGGTATCCCCCATAAAGGATGCAAAACCAGTATGAAAATTTGGTAAATTTTTGGTTGTTATTCTAATCAAATGAAAATGTTATGAGAAAATTGGACAGAGTAGCAAAGAGGGCGATTTCCCCAATCAATCCTTATTTAGTCAAGTCACTGCCAAAGGTCCGTCTACTTAACCGCTTCTTTTATTTTCATGTAAGCATGGCGATTATGTTTCGAATTACCCATTATAACACATGCGTATTCATTTGTATCCAATGTATTAGCTGCACCTTGCTGTTAAAAATGTTCCCCACCCAATCTAAAGTAATTTTTATCACACACTAATTGATTTTTGTTTCAAGTATATTGTTGACTATCTTGAATCAAAATTTCTTTAATTTATTATTCCTCACAACCACAAAAATTTCAACCAAAGCATGTATATCACATAAAATTTATTTTTACTGCCTGTTTTTTGTAACATTTGCTCGTTTAGCTAATAATTTGGAAGTTTCTCTTAATCATGATGTAGATAAAATATACCTTAATAATCGAGAATGAGCCACAAGACTCTATATCAAATGTGATCGGCTTTTATACAATTAACTGAGGTCGGTAATTGCGGTTCGGATTTTACATAAAAAGCGGGTACAACTCCGTGTTCAGCAGTCACCACAGCGTTGTTTTCAGTAGTGGCAAAGAAGACAATTCAAGTGAAACCAATCATGAGGGCCTTGGTGCTATGCTGTTTGTTGTTTGGTATGTTGCGCCTTTCTTTAAGGTTTTACCATGTTTAATGCTTCATTTGGAGTGAAAGTCATTGATTCGATCAAATCCTTTACTCGACGTTTACAAATCTTGGGTGAAGCAATCTAATTTGAGGTGAAGGCAGATGCTCGACACGCAACAATTGATGGTTTCTCAATTTTTAACTTTTGTTGGTTTTTTTAGAATTGGTCTCCATAATTTATTAAGCTTCTTAAAAAGATCAGGTACTTGTCTTTCTTTCCATAAAATAGGCATTTTACCGTCGTATTTTCTGTGATTGGCTAGGCTCCCGTGCCCAGCTCGATCCTTCACGTTTAATGAAAAACCAAGCTTCTTGCAATCATTTGCTACCGTAGCTTTTCCCAACAATCAGAGTATATCTTTCATGTTTTTTCCAATGCACTTTTGTTTCACCCACAATCTTCTTCTTCTAGGCATCGCCACTGCAATGTATATTGACAATGAAAACGATGCAGAAAAAGATCCAGGATACCGATACGGACATGGGTACAGGGTGAAGGTCATCAAGGGACCTCCCGGCCCACCCGGACCACCGGGACCACCCGGGCCAGTCGGACCACCTGGTCCACCTGGAAGAAAAGGTATGAAACATCAAAACTTCTTAATTTAAATCTTGTTCGTTTTATTAAACGATTTCAAAAAATAAGCAAACGCTTTTCTTGGAATTCACTCTTATATACAAGGAAGACTGCCTTACGCACCGAAAATGTTTTTTGACCACAACAAAATTTTACTTGCATTGCTTGCTTGCGGTTCACTTATCGAAGCAATCATGTCCGTTCCACAAACTCTTCGTCGGTAATCGTGTGTTTTGAAATGAAAGCGTACATTTTATCAGATGTTGAAATAATTCACCGGCAACGGCAATTCTTGTTGATACCAATCTTTTTTAGGTCCAAAAGGACCGCCAGGGAGACCAGGCAAGAATGGACGCCCAGGAAGACCTGGAAGACCAGGAAAGAACGGACGACCAGGCCGCCCAGGAAAACGTGGAAGACCAGGACCCCCAGGTAGACGAGGTTATCCAGGAAGGCCTGGAAAACCCGGGAGAAAGGGACAGCCAGGAAGAGACGGCAAACCAGGACCTAAAGGACCAAGGGGATACCCTGGCCCACCTGGCAGACCAGGCAAGAAATATGGGAAGCCATGGTACTAGAATCTATTTAGAGTTTGCAAAAAAGCACAATTTTGACACTAATACCTGAAATGAGGACACTAATTTTATGACAAAAGTAAAACTACGGTTTCGTAGCAATTACTTGAATGATTTCTAACTTTTCTCAAGTTTCAACTTTTGTTTGCTTAATTTCTCTTGTGATCCTGTCTATTATAAAACGCCACAGATCCGTGTTTGAAATTAATATATCTACAGGGACATCTTTCGAGCTCTTGCACTGTACCTTTTTGTTTAATCGGCCCTGCCACTATACAAGTGTGGCAATCTAATGTTATTTATGGTGGATCAACGTTTTTATGATTAAATGATTCTTCGGCTTCCAGTACCATCTGCATAGCATAAATTAAGTGAAACAACAAGTATACGCTTAACAACCTACTCGTTCTTTCTAAATAAAAACAGCTTTTCCACCGATCCCTGGGTCTGCCAGTGCGTTCGTCAATCAGCAGTATTTTCTGTTTTTAAGCATTAGTTGTAAGGTCGTTGAGAGGTTTGGGGGCCCAGGGGCAAGAATTAGGAGGCCCCCTACGAGCAAAGCGAGCATAAAATTTCATTTGATAACGCCCTTTTGATTAGCTTAAGTACTTTTCTTTTTCTTGCCATCGTCAGAAAAGTTTTACTCCACTCTCGGCGGCCTTGTTAGTTACTATCGTTGATGATCGATGGTTCGAATATAAACACCTTGAGGTGAATCGTCCGCCTAAATCTCATATTTCAGTATTCTGCTTCTCTAATTTTAAAAAGACTAGTTTAACGCGATGCTTACGCATACATACTTTTGATAATTTTGGATCATAAATTCAAGTGCAGTAAAATTTGCCAAGTCAGACACTGGTTTATTTCTAAACGTTCTTTATTTAAAGCTAAATGAATTGCGCTTGGCGCAGAACAGCCTATTTACTCAAACATTTCTTATTATCAATAACAATTTCCAAAAATGAGCCTCCCAGTTTTGTGTTCCTGCCAATTTAATCTCTAGGAATTTCAGAGGGGAAATTTGGTCACTTGTCGACTCTCGCCAGAAGCTTTGTAATCTAACACGTCTCTGAAACTCTTGAAACCTCAAGACTGTTTACAGTGGACATGTGAACAAGGGCTGACATAAACAAGGCAACCCAGTCTTGCTTAGCCGAGTTTGCTCAAGATTGCTGGCGTGGACGCACTTAAACATGGATCGTCTTCATTCTGCCTTCGAAGGTGCTTGTCGAAAGCTAGGCTTAAAGAGAGTCTATTATAAGAAGCGCGAGGTGTGTTTCAAAATAAAGGCGATGGGATTGGCTGGGATGCCTGTGGATGGTGTTCAAGCAAGCCATGCCAAGGCGGCAGTAGCTGAGTTGGTTAGAATCTGGGACAAGGGAGACTCTTTGAATGTTATTCTTACCATATCTGCAAGTAAAGGATTGCGAATTAAAGACAAGAGGGGCAAAGAGTTACTCTGCTACAAAATCTACAATATCGCTAATTGCACAGTTCACAAGGAAAGCCCAGATGTTTTCTTGTTTATGGCAAGGCAGAGAGATACAGAAATCAATTGTCATGCATTTTACTGCAGTGACGAAGTGCAGGCAGAAGCAATTTGCTTGTGTTTGTCCAGTGCTTTCCATAAAGCTTTCGAGGCATGGGTACGTCTAAATGGGATCCCGCCAAACCCTTTAGACCCCAATCAAAAGACGGAACCACAAAAGGAGGAACCTTCCAGTCCTAAACAAACTGTGGACGTGGATGTAAAGGAACAGCATTCAGAGAAGGAAGAAATTTTCTCTTTTTCTTCTACTTCGCAACCGAAAAGAAATTTCGAAAATGGGCGACGACCAAGTACTCTTAGTGAGGCTTCAGCTTTCAGCTTCAACAGCCAAGCAGATGAGGCCTTCGCAACACTTCTTGCGGTCGAGGAGGGAGATGAGACACCACAAGTACCGGTTATAAGAACAGAGTATAACTGGGCTAATTTCGAGGAAAAGCAGAAGGTTTTATCCCTGCTGAATGGCGAGGACGTCGAATGGGAAGATGATTCTCAATGCTAAGAAATTTATTATATGAAGAACCGTTTTTTAAAATGCGACTTGTTTAGAAATTTGTTTTGACCTGCTACTTAAATTGGGCCACTTTTCGCCTTTTTCAGCAGAAATTTTGAGCAAATTCCTGTTTTATATAACCGCCTACACGCTATGTAACAGATATATTCTAAAATTGAAAGATCAGTACTACAGAGCAAAACCAATTTTCAAATATAATCAGCTAATCTAACGATTAGCAAAGGAACTTTTTTGAAGGAAAGTTTCTCAGTTTCTTGTTTGGGTTTTTGAAATTAATTAAAAAGCGCATGTGTGGAGCTATTTATTTGGCTTGCACAGTGTACTTTTGGAAATTTTTTAGATTTGGCCCTTTATGCGACTTTTGGCCTGAATTGGTTACCCGTCTGGTCTTTTGTAAATCCCATCTTGCAACCCTGACTCTGAGAATTCAGTATTTTATCATTTTACACCTAGTATTAGTCAATTTTTATTATTGCTTACTGTTTTGACAACAATATCTTTGACTTTATGCTATAGCACTGATCTAGTTATTATGAACCTATTTACGAGACCTCTTTCTCCATGTCCCCAATCCATACTAGAAGATGTTCAACAGTTTTAACTAGTGCAAATTTTAAACAAACTGTGAGTTGTGACACATCCCCTGCGTTTGGGGGTAGTCTGAGCTACTGCTGAAATAAACCACACCAATCCCTACTGAAGTCTAGGCGGACTATCTCCTCGTTAGGGTTTGAGTCTATAAAACGCAAACCGCTAACCAGCCCCCTAAGATCACTTCTCATTAAAAAAGACAATAAGAATAAGAATTTTGGCAATGGAATTTGTTTACGACTCATGCGGAAAATGGCCGGTATTAAGTGAGAAAGTGAGAAATCGTGATTTCAGCTCTATTAGTTGCTTTTTTTAAATACTCCAACTTGTTTTATTATGATTATGAAAAGGGAAGAAAGTGCTAAATCCGATGCCTTGCCGTCCAACATGCTAATTAAAAATTTAATTCGTTTCGTGCTCGCTACTTATAGATTCCAGGGGCAGCGAAAACGGGGGGGGGGGTGAAGAGGTACTTCAGCGAATCTCAAAAAGCACTGAAAGCCATCTGTTTTGCGTTTTCCTATGAAGGCGACCGCCACAAACGCTATTGCATAGGAGCATCTTATCAAAAATTCCGAAAAGTTGCCAAATTTTTAGACAATAACCAGCGGGTGCTTTGACCGCAGACGAGATGAGGTTTATACTCGGACGAATATCGAATTCAAAAAACAAGTACACGTTGTCAGGAAACTTGATCCTGCAAATGTTGCTCTTATATGGTGACATGCTTTGTTCGCGAGGGCAAACAGCGAGGGAAAGTCCCGTATTCTTGAAACAAAAACAAAACTATACCGTGGTTTAATGTTTCTTGAAAGATTTAAGAAACCGTTACTAGAACAAGTTGCGAATCGACTTTTGACAGCATTTATGCATCCAGAAGAACGTTTGTACCAGACCAAATGTCTATCGTTATGTAGCTGTCTACCACAATTGTGGTTTTAAAGTGTTATATTAATGTGTTTTTGTACAAACAGTGACAAGATACCCGGTTTTGAGTTTCGCTTCGGTCAACTATGCATATTTTGCAGCATAGGAAAACAAATGATGTTGCTGACATGCCTCGACCTGCATTGTTAGAGAGAAAGACACTGTGACACTTGAAATTAAATAAATTTCATATCTAGTTACATCATTTCCTTTTTACACAATTTACTTGCAACTCAGAACCCTGTTCTATACTAACAAAGCATGTACAGCTCTGCCACAAAGAGTTGAGCACAAGCAAGAAAAAGTCAACTTATATTAGTTACATTTTTAGAGGTTCATATAGCCATGATAAATAAAAAACCTTGACTGGTGGTCAATTTCTAAAAAAAAGGGGAGCTAAAACCACCATCCCCTCCAGCCTGTGCCCCCTGCCCCATGATGCCTTGATAATAGAACCTTTCACATTTATATTAATTTCATATTACTGAATACACACAGAATATGACAGATAAATTCTGAGCCTTTTAGGAACAACTGTGAGTATATGATTAGAAAAATGATTAAACAATACAGAGTAGATTAATAAACCAGAAGATGCTAGTGCTTCAGGCTTTGTATTTTTTTGCTCCAAAGCATCAAATAATTGTTTTCACGATCTTCAATCTTCATATTGAGTGACATGACAGTATATACAACAAGGTGACTTCTTTTGATTCATCAAGGTGCCATATGACTAGGTTCAGTAGATTGGTTTTGGCTGTTGGGTCAGTAAAATTCCAAAACGCTTCTTAAGGGTGTATCTATGACTTGAGTACTTGTCATCAGGAGAAAATCGTGCTGTAGAGATAAACAAGTTCCAATTTGTAAAGAATACAACTACATGTAGATACACACAGAACTAAAAGGGCCTTAATTATTGTTATTTTGATTTAAGTCACAGCATGGTACATGGAACCAACACATTTTCAGAAAATGGCCAGTAAGGTACAAAAATTTCTTAAGTAAATGTGTAACAAAATAAAATCTTCAGTTCACACATGAATGACCCTGGAACAGCAAAAGCTTATTGTCAATCAATTGCAATTTCTGGCCATTGTTTTAAATTTATATAATTCATTTAAACACTTCAACTAACAAGGTATACAAAAACATCAAGGTTACCATATAAAAACTGAGAACCCTGACAGGAGATATGTTAAATATTTTGATAAATTGTAATGATAAATAGCAGACAGACACTAAATTAAAGGCAGTATGTTCCATCACATTTTGCTGGCAATTCAAATTTCCCATTGGTTGGACTTAATAACAGAATTATTGTACGTAACTAATTGGCAACGTAAAGCTGATTCTCAATGCTTTCTTGACCATAAATGCGTTGCAAAGCCTTTGTTAACTTTGAAAGGTTGACTGATGAGACAAGGTACCTTTAAAGTACTAGATTACTGAAAGGCAGGTACTTGTAATGTAGGATTAGCACCACCCCCAACCAATTTCAAACCACCCCCCCCCCTACCAATTTAAAAACCTTACTACCCTGGTGGTTCTTTTGATGTGTGTTATTTTGTGTATTGCCTATAATACAGAACATAATAGCACTGACAGGCAATGCACTCGCAATTGGTCCATCCCATTACATCCCATAATTTATCGGATCTTTGAAACTTCACTTGGATTTCTTAATGAATAATGTGAAGACTGTAATTTGAAATTATCTTGCACAAAAGGACAATTTTATGGGTTCACTATTTTGTATATTTCAATGCACTATTTGGTGTAAAGAACAGGACAGCTTTAACATGGCATGAGCCATCCTGTTCTTTACACCAAATGTGTTGTGCAGCTGGCCTATACAGCGATGTGCACTTTATGACTGACTGGTAAACAGTTATTTTCAATGCAAATATATATTTTCAGTATTCAGCTTTCCATGAAAGAAACCATCTAGAAATTGACAATAATAAAGACACTAAACTTAGACTACATGCCCTAAGTTCATGTCAGTTAAACGGGGCCAGAAGCTTTCATCTAAACAATGTTTCAAATAAAATCATATCAAGTTATAAATAAATTCCGTTATCATACCTGGGTGGGCTGAAACTGTCTGATTTCCTTTAGGATCTGTTTTCTGAAAAACAATTGAATTCCTTTATTTGCTTCTTTTATGCAAAAATTTAATGGACCACAGGCCTCTTTGCCATGGCCCCTTTGTCATTGGTCTTTTTCCCCTCTAATGCCAGTGTGGAATCCATGCAGCTTACGCCAGAGATATCCAGCGTAGACTAATGATTTCCCATTGTCTTTCTATTGTTTCTTGGCATATGTCTGGCGTGAGCTTCACATGGATTCCACCCTGGCTACAATGTCTAGCAACCATGGCAGCCCTGTATAGTAAAGCTAAGAGTGGCAAGCTTAAATTGTGAAAGAAAGAGAAATAGCTGATCATTAGATAAAAATGGCACATTTGACTCAAGGAAATAGAATAATATTATTTTGTTTTTTGACTTAGTAATGTCTTTAACATTTGCATTACCAAATTTTTTGTTTAAGTTGCACCTAGCTTTTGATGTATTCTTCAATTGTTTCTATTTCTTACTAATTATAATAAATATTAAATTAATGTGTAAATGTGCAAATGTTTTAGCGACTATGCCACGTCAAGCTGTGGTTTATAGTGCCGTGGGAGCAAAGTCGCTGTCATATGTCAAAGAGACAAAATTTCAATGACCTTCGCGAGGAATAAAACTGTACATTTGGCATAATATGAAGCTATAACGTTTAGGTATGTGTTTATTTATTTGTTATATAATCTACAGTTACACAGTGATTGTTGGTAAGCCTGTTGGCTGTTGATGTGTAAGTGAACTGATGAGAGAGCGAGATCGCATGCGTCGAAATAAAAAAAATTATTACCTTCAACGTGTAGACTCTCTTCCCATCTTCCATGTAGTACATGAGATGCATTTTACGAATGAATTTTTACGCACTCCTATAAATAAGTTGGTGTCCTTTCTTCCACGCTGCTTTCTTTCGCGTGGTATAGGCCGAGGTGAAAATGAAAAGACGTGCTTTCAGCTGCAATGTTATTTTGACTTCGACATCAAAAGGAGGTCAGACGAAAAGCTACGGAAAGTTTGAATTACATTTTGATATTTATAAAAAATTAACGTATTGAAAATATACTTCTTTAAACAACAGTTCTTAGAAACCCTAGCAAAAAATATGTGATAGAGTATGTAAAATAACAGTCAAAAAAGCCATTTTAAAAAGCCATTAATAATCAAATCAAATCAAACTTTTTCATTCAGCAATAATCGTACAAGCTTTAAAGGTATACAATTGCTTTAAAAACTTCGAAAGCACGTCGCTGTAGTATCTCTTTCCCCCTCATTATAATGGCCTGGAGATTATAACTTAATGGAATAAGCCTCTACCGATCTGTGCATACCGTAGTCTCCATTTTTGAAGTCTAACTTAGGACATATTCACGCTATTTTTAAACTTGAGTGAACCAAGTACCTAAAACTGCGGTACATATACGTATATGAATAAGCCTAATGAATATGAATGCAAAAAATCGTCTTTTTAGTCAAGTTTTTTAACATGCTCATTACCAATTACCATAACTCCCCCGCTGTCTCCGTTTTTATACGTAGTTTACAACTGACAATAATATTGTTGGTGCATCGATAAAATCAGGGTAAGAAACAGGGACAATATTCCCTGCAGCAGCATTTTGGTCAGTAGATTTCACAATTTCACATTAAACGACTCTATCGCACAGAGATTGGTGTTAACTAAAATCTACTGATCTTTTGTAAATCAAAAGATTGGCCTAAAGTCATCATTAATCCTTGGACTTCCTACTCAATTTCGTGAGCTGGATAATACGTCCTATTTGTGGACGCACATAGCTTAATCGCCTCCAGCTTTTATTGTGTGATGCCTGGAACTCTCTAAGCCTCCGACCGTGGCCTTTATAAAGGATCAAATATATCATCTTAGATCATTTTTACCATTATCCAGAGCA